TATAGATCTAGATAGATAGAGAGATATAACTTGCAGGTTATACACCTTTAAGGCGATTGTATTTTAATCATTGATGATTGTTACTACTGCTGTGCAGAGCTATTGTACATTGTTAATCATAAAATTGGTTGGTTTTCTATGTGATGTAACCCTTCGAGACAAACGGAAATAAACCCATGAAAATCTGATGGTATGATGTTGGTCAGATGATGGTCAGCCCTAAAATGAATTTTTTAAACATACAATCTCGCTAAACACGCTTCAGTATTATTGCTTGACAGATATGAAGACACCGATATAAGGTGTTATCTGAATGTTGATAAATCCTTTGTTGCTGTACATCTCTCCAAGCAGGGCTGACATGAGCGAGGACTTTCCTGAGCCTACAGCTCCCACTACTGCTACCAGCTTACCTGGCTTTATATCCAATGAAATACTGCCAAACATGCATCAAATAAATATGATTAACATTCAAAAAAAGAGTTTGGACAAATATAATGTTTAGCAGCAATACAGTGTCCTATCCAAATGTGCAATATTGTGCTTGACCCAACAAACTTACTTTTTCAGCAGAGGCTCTGCTTCTCTTTCCCAAGCAAAGGAACCATCACATATGGTGATAGCAGAATGTAGCAGGTGAACAAAGAGTGAAATAAATTTGCTCGCATGGCTTCTCCTACCACAGCTATGCCGATGACACCCTGATGACAACTAATTCTCTCTTTCCCTCACTCGGCCTGTCTGACTGACATCTCTGAGTGGATGTCCACCCACCATCTTAAAATCAGCTCTGACAAGACTGAACTACTTCTTTTTGCTGGAAAAAATTCTCCTACACAGGATCTGACTGTTAACTTTGGCAACTCTGTGTTAAAGCCGAGGTTGACTGGCAGTGGCAGTCTGCCCGCATCCAGTTCAAAACATTGGTACTCCTGTACCACACTGAGAATGGATCGGGTCCAGTATACATCCAGGACATGGTCAAACTCTACATTCCAACCCGCACACTCCACTCTGCATCTGTCAAACTGCTTGTAATAAATAAAACTAACAGCTTGTGGCGCTTAAAATTGTACTTATAATGGCTCATTTCAACTATTCAACTATAGCAAGATGTAGATCGGCTTATTTAATGAAATTGCACTCTTTTGTTTCTTGTTCTCATGAGTTTGTATCCTTATGGTTGAAATGGACTTATTGTGAGTCGCTTTGGATAAAAGCATCAGCTAAATTACATGTAATGTGTGTGTACCGGTCGTTGTTTTTCCTTACTTGCACGATGGCAGCGATAAGCATGCACAGCATGGTCAGTGGAAATCGAAGGATGTTGAATAGGGAGATGGAAGTGAAAGCTTTCTCAGCGGTCAGCACGTTGTCTGGGCTTACGCGTACGGAAACTGCAAAAGTGGCCAGAGAAACCTTGCAAATAAAAAGACGGAATTATATTTTCTTTTTTTATAAGACCTTATTGCCTTTTTGCAAAGCTCCTTAACAGATGAAGGTGGAAACAGACGTCAAGTAGGCAAATTTCCTCATGACTTTCAGTTCTTCCCCCCTGATGCCGTCAACCTGTGCCTGGAATGATGTCTCCCACGCATACAGCTTCAGAATCTGGTGGCAGACGAGAAGGCAAAGAGGGGGACACATTGAACGAAGTGTGAGGGAGCAGTAGTCAATGTAGGGGCTGTATGAAAGAAGCACTTAGGAATAATATTCAACCCTTTTAGCGAGTAATAACATCCCTCCATCTGAGGAAGGCCTTCACTAGAGTCCCCAGTCGGGCTCAATTGTTTAACTCGGAATGGAGGCAGAGGTGGTGTTCTTACACCAACCACCACCAACTCACCTTGATCCCATTAAGGATTTCATTCATTATCTTCAGTCGCTTGTCTTTGAACTTCATGTTCTCTATCTGAAAAGAAGATGACATGTAACTCAGCAGCTATTCAATTCTTATTAGAATGATTAATACATCTCCAGCCAGGAGTAGGGATCATTTCAAGCATCACATGTAAAAACACCACCTATGTGGTGAAAGCGAGGAAAAACATTAAGAGCCATAGTTGCAGTAAAGGTCAGACTAAGGTGTTTGCATCGATGATTACGTGGCTGTTGGAGGTGAGACAGTGGCTGAACAAGCACTTGTTAAAAAAATAATTGTATCTGGGGTTTCAGTGGTCTCTTCTCTAAATAATCAGTATATCAAAAACTCAAAAGGTTCAACAGTGTTTCTTAAGTGCTAAATATTCAGAACATTTCTGCACAAAGCACTAAAAGAACTTGTGACCCAGTAAACAAATATATCACATTTGTAAAAAGGTTTCAGCGTATAGCTGAAAGGGTAAAAACGTGATTTATGAAAACACCAATATTACGTGTTTGCAAAGATTAAGTCAGAAATTGCTCTGTGTCCTCTGGCCTTCTAAGCTATGCTCATAGTTCAACATCTATTTGGAGGTTTTTTCATGTTGGGTTCATTATTGCTGAACAGCAGGAAGCAGGACACTATATTAGTTTCCGATGAGCAGGTTTTGGTTTGGTGTTCTGTTCTGTCTTTTTTGTTTCTCATGAGCAGCAAAATAATTTAAAATCACTATCAATAAAAAGCTGCAGGAAACCTGGAAACATAGAGAGGTTGTTCTTTGTTAAAACTCGACTCACTTTAGGAGTTGAGGACTGACAAAAGTCAGCAAGTCCGTCATAAGGTTGATGAAAGCCGATTCAAACAGCACCCCTTTAAAGGTCTTGTAGATGGTGGAAATCAGCCATGAATTGGGGTGGTCTTTTTCCTCTTTCTTTTTGTCGTTTTTGTTCTTCTTTTCATCTCCTTTTGTTCCCTTTTCCTCCTGAAGAAAAAAAAAGTTTTGAAGTGCGGATCAATACATCTGGACCACCTGACACCGGGAATCAATAGCAGTACTGAAAGGTGCTATAGAATGTGATGTTCATGTGTGTCGAGCTATTCTCTCTGCACATTCCTTCCATCATCAGCACATCATGACTGATGCCTTTCCCCAGATTGTTGGAGAGGCCATTTTGAAAGGCCTCCTCTGGGGATTTCTCTTTGCTCGTTTCCCGTTGCTTTTTCAACTTGTTTTGGAACCGGACCCGAGCAGCACGCAGCTCTGACTCCATGAAATACTGAAAGCGCTGGTTGATGAGAGCGGTGCTTTCCGCTTTGCTCAGCTCCCACATGTCCTCCTGGACCAGGGGCCGCTTGTACTGTTAGGGATTTAAGTCAGAAGTGCACCCCTAGTCAGGGAAGTTATAGTATGTGTAATAATGTTTAGTGTTAGAATTATAGTTTGTGTGTTATTAGATATTAGTTATTACATTAACATGTTAGATGAAGTGAATGCAATTTGAATCAAACACAATTCATAGTCATTAAAATCATATAAACACTGTACACATTAACCTTCTGTCACAATGTGATGTTAAAACCTGGGGACGGATGCTAATTGCCGTACAAAGACTCGACCTGCGCAAGCGCGAGACAGAAGATCCAGTGTGAAGCACTGCCTCTGGCGGTCATCCAGGATTCATAGAACCGTAGTTACATACGGAGCTTTCAATTTATTGTGTAGTAATTAATTTACATGGTTGCATGGTAATATGTCTTACTCATTGGGTGGCAAACCCAGAGGATAGCCTTGGACAAGTGAGGACAATCCATTAGTATACAAAGAAAAGCTAAATATAACTGAATTTGATAACATGACCTTCTGTACTAGTGAGATCATAGCCTGTTAGCGAAGTCTTAATACGTTTTGCACAGTAGTCCAGTTATTTTATTAACAGGGATTTACACTAAAGCTGTCTATACCTAAAGCGACATCCCAATTCATTAGATGATTTCTCGCATCATTTTCCATAATTGTTATTCTAATGTGTATGTATTAGTTACCTGTTACATTAATTTAGAAGAAAGTAGAAAAATAATTTAAACTTGGATTTTGACAAAATGCGTTAGAGATCGCTCATCTTCAACACAGAACTACAATGCTGTCTAATGTGTATATTTAACTTGAAAGATAATAGACCCCATACTTCTTTTACAAGAAGTAAGTTTTGTGAAGTAACTGAATAACCTGACTCCGATAAACCTTGGTCAGGTGTTCATCATTCCAAGTTCAATATATATCTTAGTCATTCAGATGACCCCACAAAGCTGGCTTTTGAATCAACCCCATGTTATTTACCTTGATGGGATCAAAGGTCTGTTTCATGCTTCACCGTGTTGTAACATGTTACTGGGTTGCATAGTTTAGTTGTAATGCCACGAGAGTCCCGGGGGTTGGAAATGATGTCATGTTGTTGTTGTTTTTTACAAAAATTGACAAAGCAAATTCAAATTTATGATGGGAAAAAATTTAACGATTAAGTATCGTATCCAAGTGATATTGAAAATGCTGATGTGTCTATTATGACATTGTATTTTACATTGTATTTTACTGTAATGTCAGTGCCTTTTATTGTCGAATTGATCCACCACATCGTAAGTTCACTGACTATAATCTTTCTTACATCTGTAGCGTTAGATATGAATGAAACGTAAGATAGTAACATCACTCAAAACTCCTAAAACCCATGATTAATAATTTCAACGAGTCTAAATGAAGCATGTGCACTTGTATGGCATATTTCTCCAACTAATTTAATAAGCTTTTAATTGCAAGACACATTTGAAAACATTGTCAATGAACTTAAATAAAATGAATTGATCAACTACGTATTTTGGACTAAGCAAACTCTCAATGATTTTGTACTTTACAAAGTAAAGGATGTCATTTTTACCATAGTAGTTGGTACTGTAAATAAATGTAAGTCACCAATATGGTGTAATTGTAAATTTCTACTTAGTATAGTATAAATTCCTACTCTCTATATTAATTAAATTCTTAAATGTACACACGGTTCTTTCCCACTCAGACCATTTGTATTTTGTGCGATTATTCAACCATCTCCACGGAGAGAATAAATTCTCAAAAGACCACTTCTGCTTTTCCATATTCTTTGTTTAGTCACTTTTTTAGACACACAGAACGATAGTATAACATGAAAATAAATATGTCACCTACATGGTGCAGTGGAAATTAGTGCATAATATCCTTGTGAGAAATTCCCTCGACACATGGCAACTTGAAAACATTCTGCTCTAATGGCGGCTGCAACACAATGATTTCACATTTTGAAATGGATTGTGTATTTTATTACACTTTTTCTGAGTCAAAATACAGGTGAAAAATAACAGATGTAAATTATTCATCATTCCGCACTGCGTGATACTGTGACTGCATGTCCCAGAAGGCTGGGAGGCTTTCCCTGAGCTTTAACTTTATTAGGACTGTTTGATCAGAGATTTAAATATAAAGTAGAAAAAGGTTTTAAAAATGTCTACTTATTCTGTACTGTGATAAAAGTAAACAATGACATAGCAGTAATGATCACTTTTGAGGTATCTGTTTTGTTATTTGTCATGATTGCACATCACCGATTCACATGGTATTTCTGGCTATCGCGTTGAGAGTGCGGACCTTGCTCACATCTGCCACCTTCAGACCGTACTCTGGTGCTGAGAAAGAAGCTCCCATTGTCACACATGTGTTCCTGCACATAGAAACATACAGAGACAACAAAAAGGTTTGTCTTTAAGTTGTAGTTCTTATAGTTCAGGAAACCTTTCAATGTATTAAAGGATGCGAACAATCATTCCTACCTGAACTTCATGGCGGAATCCCTGCTGGAACGGGCTGAGCAGTGAAACTCTTGAGCCCCCGTACCTTCCAAAATCCTCTGCAAGTTCCTTTCAGTAATTCCTCCTCCTGTTTAAAAAAAACAATAACAACAACAAAAAACAGAAACGTAATTTACAGGGAAAATGTGAAAGGTACTGACCTGGCATGATGGCAATCCTCCCTTTCGCCTGTTGAGTGGAAAGAAAAGGCGGAAAGTGGGACAGAAGAATGGCATAAAGAAAGAGATACAAGCTTGTCAGCCTAAAAGACAAAGCAGCACAGACAAATAGCCCTATTTTAAATAACCCCATTTTCAAATGCTTGAATGGAAATAGGTACATATCATTTATACACACCTGATCAATGAGCTGCTTAATAAGAGGAAGTCCCTCCAAAGCAGAGTTCTCACAGCCACTTGTCAGAAGACGCTGGAACCCCAATGACACCAGAGTCTCCAGGGCGGCTACTGGGTCATGCACCATGTCAAAAGCTGCAGAAGAATCAATAACAGTTCAAAAACATCAGCTCATAAGTCTTTGGAGCCACTGATAAATCACTCAAAAGGGCGTTGGTATTGCTTTTCTACTGAAGCTGTAAATCTGCATTTGACTGTTTGGGAGTGTTACCTCGGTGGAAGGTGATAGGCAAATGTTGAGCAGCAGCTGGTAAGCAAAAAATGACAATAACAAAAATACATGAATCATACAAAACCTCAAACGAGCAAATCAGTTGCAGTATAAAAACATTCTGAAGGCTTTACCTCTTTTCTGAGCCTACACACCAACTATGTTCATTCAAATTCTCTATGAGACTAAATCCTTTAAGGTATTCCATATTGTGTTTTGTGAGGCATTGCCATTGAAATGATTTTTGTTATGGATTATTTCCACAGTATATTTATCTTTCTGACTTGCATTTTGTTTCTCTTGAAAAAGTTTCACTGTCAACATAAGTCAAGCAAACCTAGTGACAAATTATTAGACACACCAGGATGATGGCATCTACTACATAAAATAAATTGTATTTTGTTGTTGTTTTTCATGGAAACTGCAGAGGTCAAAAGCCTCAGCGACACTTAAGGTAATAAAAGAAGTTTAGCTTCGCAGAATTGTGGTCACCCTGAAAAAGTATGTGAAGTCACCCACTTAGCTTCTTTGGGGGAACTGTACTTCATGCATTAAGTGAGAATCTTGTTTTGTTTTTTTGTTGGTTTAGCGCCTCGTCCAAGACGAGGAGGAGTACAGGGCATACCCAGAAACTCCATACAGCGCTCGGCGTCAACCCGCCCGTCCTCAGTCAGGGCGCCCAGGACGAGCCCGTCCGCCCCGTGCGTCTTCATCAGCTCTATGTCCTTCTTCATCACCTCCACTTCCTGGTCGGAGTACAGGAAGTCCCCCCCACGAGGCCGCACCATCACGTAGACTGGGATTTTGACACACTGCTTCACTACATGCAGCAGACCTGTGACAAATGAATGAAGCTTTGGGTGGTTGTCCGTGCACGTCTGGTCCCAGCATATACCCAAGAGTTTAGAGTATGTGGAGAAATGAACTGAACTGACCCTGACTTGGAGTGAGTCCACCCTCCAGCAGACTAGAACACAGTTCAAGTCGACCTGCACCTGAAAAGATAAACCATGATCATACCGCACCTGAGGACTTAAAAAAAGACGAATGCCCATTTGATACAAGATACATTTTATTTTTGACTGCAACTATTCCACACACAAATGCATGTCTTGGATCTTCAGCAAGTAAAGTGGTGATTAGACAATGCTCACTACACGTTACCGACCTCCTCGTTCAGCATTTACAGCAGACTCCACGGAGTCCACACACGCCTCCATCAAAAAACCTCCCATCCTCACAGTGCGACAGACAAAGATTAATCGTTTTTGTATTTGCTAAAACAGGCTAAAAAGTACACGACCCCTGAGCTAAAGGAAAATAAAAGACACCGAAAACAACTAACGTTATCAGTCAAATTCCGCTTCCTATCGATGTTGTTTGGGCGACGGACTTTGGCCAACAACAACGGTTCAGCGTTTTCCGGTGAGTTTAATTTCTACCACAGGGTGTAGCGGGAGAACGGTGCTACACTGCTGATACTGCACTGTGGGATTAGAAGGAGGAAGCTAACCGCTCATGGGGGATACGCTAAGACACAAAACTCCCGTCTGTCGATATTAACGTTTAGAAAATATGTAGTGGAACATCTTCTTGTTCATGTTTGTTGGGTATTGTGTTTCTCGTTCAATAAATACAAAAAATAAAATCATGCTTTTATTCTTCTTCAGCTTTCGTTGTGACGTCAGCAGGTCAGAGTTGAACCGTCGGTTAGGAAACATGCTTTTGTAACGTAACCACCCATAACATCCAGCTCCGCCTAACGTAACAGCTTTTCCCTCGGCTTCAGCTTCCAATGCAGCACCAGTCCACTGCCTGCTGACCGACAGAGCTTACGACATGTTACTTTCATCATTACGGACCAGCATCTTTTGCAGTTGCAGAAGTGCTGGAAAAAGCTTTCAACAGAGCGGCGTGAGTATAAAGCTAACGCTACATGCTAACATTGCCTTACTAACGTTAGCTAGAGGATCGACTGGAAGAGGTCAGACACCGCACTGCACGCAATGTTATGACACGATATGTCAGACATATTTGACAAGCTAACACCCGGCTCACGTTTGGGTTGTTTTCATAGTTTTTTGTAGCGCTAAGTTAGCTCTGACATTGGAAGTTACCCGGCCATTTGATAACGATTGCTTACGTTAATGTTATTGGTTTTAACTTCACCGGCAAATGTTCGTGAATGTCCCTCATTCAAACTCCGACGTAACGTTTAAGTGAACTGCTACATGTACGTCAGAGCTTGGTAATAAATCCATATTATGCCTTTTTCTACATCTAAAACGTATGATTCGGAATTTCTACTGGTTATCTAAGTGAGTGAGGTAACGGGATTGTGTCCCTTCTTACATTACATTACAAGTCATTTAGCAGCTTTTCAAAAGTAATAGTTGTAACTTTGGTAGTTCCAAAGCAACTTACATTACACTTTAAACCCATGGCTTTTTTCACATTTTTGCCTGGGGAGCAATTAGGGGTTAGGTGTCTTGCTCAGGGACACTTCGACATGGAACATGGGGCAGCCTGGAATCGAACCACCAACCTTGTGCTTTTATGTATTCAGTATCTCCATGCAATGTCCCGGGAATCAAAAGGCCCCTTTAAGGGTGTCCATTCTTCAAAGAAGACATCACGTTTGAGCTCATCTCAGACTTGTTGGACATGGTCCATAACACTGATGGGAACTGGGGAAACCACTTAAACCAAACAAGCTCACCTTTACTTAAGATAATTGAATCTTTTGGAATTAGTACTTCTCCAGTGTAGTAACAAGACATATTTATTTTTTCCCCCATTCATAGCATCATCGGGGTCCACAGCTACGACAATGGCTCGTGAAGAGAGGGCAGAGCACCATCACAGTAGAGGCGGGGGCCTCCTCCTCCTCGCCGGCCGCCGTCCCAAACGCATCCACAAACCGCACACTAGGCCGCTGGTTACTGGGCTGCAGCGGGCTGGTGGTTGGGGCCGTTGTCCTGGGTGGTGTCACAAGGTAAAGGGATTGGAAAGTGAAGCGTGTTTGTTAAATGGTCTTTCTTTGCATTGAAGTGCTGTTGATATGTACTTGCTTTTGTTTTAATCAGGCTAACAGAATCTGGGCTGTCGATGGTGGACTGGCATCTGGTGAGAGAGATGAGGCCACCTCAGACAAAAGCAGAGTGGGAGGCCGAGTTTTCCAAGTACCAACAGTTCCCTGAATTCAAAATGTAAGGTCCCGACCATTTCTGTTTGCCTCGTCAAGACACTTTTATCAGGACCGTTTAAAGGCCACATATCACAAAATATTTAGAAATTGCTTGACGTGTCTTGATTCAAAAATCAACATATTTTTTATTCACATATTACAAGACACGTCAAAACGCTTCAAAACTACATTTTAGTCTGCAAAGTTTTGAAATGTCACCAGCAGTGGTTCTGAACACTGAACAAAAACAGGCCTATATTTTCATTTAGTAAGCGCACAGCTTTCCCAAATAATTAGTTGAAAGAAACTCTGACATGTTGTAAACAAAAGTATTGATTGGATCCTTAGTTTTGAAGTTGAAAAGGGATCCTAAATTCTCAAACTTGGCTGAAGAGGATGCCGTTAATAATGATCCTTGTGGTATTTGGACCAAAGTAGGTTTTAGCGATTTCATTCAAACCACATAGAACCATATCCACTTGTGGTAAAAGGACATAATATGGCTCCTTTAAGTTATCTGTTCTCATTGTTTTTTTCCCAGAATGAACCATGACATGACTTTGCCAGAGTTTAAGTTCATCTTCTACATGGAGTGGGGTCATCGTATGTGGGGAAGGCTGGTTGGACTTGCGTACGTCCTCCCCACCGTTTATTTCTGGAGGAAAGGATACTTCACTCGCTCCATGAAGGGAAAAGTTCTTGGGCTTTGCGGGTTTGTTTTCTTCCAGGTAAGAATCAATGCAGCTGCTTGAATGGAAGAGGATTGTAGGAAGTTCCTCCTTTCTGTACCTCACTCACTTTAGCCGTCAGTCGACTTGTATGCGTATTAAAACAACATAAAAATATAATTTTGTGTGTGTGTGGGACATCTTAGGGCCTTTTGGGGTGGTACATGGTAAAAAGCGGTCTGGAGGATAAGCCGGAGTCACATGACATCCCGCGGGTCAGCCAGTACCGTCTGAGTGCTCACCTTGGCTCCGCCCTGTTGCTTTACTGCGCCAGTCTCTGGACAGGACTCACGATGCTGCTGCCTGCACACAAGGTACTGAGGCAGGCACCTTTGGATGAAATCGGTCAACAATACGCACTTAACCTCGACCTGCTTGAGCAAATATCACCCAGTTTGTCAAGTTTTTATTTTTCCTGACGGCACCTCTTTCACAGCTTGCAGAAACCAAACACATCACGCAGCTCCGGAGGTTTGCTAAGGGTACCGGCGGACTCGTCTTCCTCACTGCTCTTTCAGGTGCTGTTCTTGTCAATGCCACGTCATAAAATAACACCATAAAATATATAGTAATAGAAGTGCTTTCAGTTTCAAGACTACTTGAGGATGCAAGTTGATGCTTAACTAGTTGAAGAATATACTCTGAAATGAAAAGATCTTGTATTATCTAATATAATGTTGCAGACGGTTATTGTAATATAAATAAATGTAGTCTTTTTATGTACCTATGTATATATTTTGAAACATAAAAAACTGCTTTTAAATAGGTGCTTTTGTTGCTGGTTTGGATGCTGGTCTGGTGTACAACTCCTTCCCTAAAATGGGAGAGCGGTGGATCCCGGACGATCTGCTGGCTTTCTCCCCAGCCCTCAAGAATGTCTTTGAAAATCCCACGACTGTGCAGTTTGACCACAGAATTCTGGTGTGTTCATTCTTCTAAAAATAAAAATATCTTCTTGGTAAATTTCTAACCTTTTCCACTCAGTAGTTTGAGGGGCAGAATGAGGTTGTTGATGATTTGCTGCATTTACTTTTTTCCAGGCAATTTCTACTATGACTGCAATTACAGGCCTGTATCTGTTCTCGCGGAGGATGCTGCTGCCCAGGAGGGCGAAGGTCGCCATCAGCCTCCTCACGGCCATGGCCTATGGACAGGTAGGCTGCCGTCATGCCAGGAACACGTAAACTCGGCCCATTACTCCTCAGTGTAACTGAGCTCCCTGCGTTTGTGCTCCTCAGGTTGCCCTCGGTATCAGCACCTTGTTACTGTATGTGCCCACTCCACTGGCAGCAGTTCACCAGTCTGGATCCGTAGCTCTTCTCTCACTGGCCATTTGGGTTCTGGCAGAGCTCCGCAAGATGCCCAAGTAAATGCCTACTGGTTTATAGACGAAGCCAATCCCTTCCAGCCACACCTCAAGCCTCTAATAGCCAGCCGCCGCTTTGTGATTAAGGTCCTCAGAAAACTGAAAAAAACAGGGCATTAAAAATGTAGAAATGTTTTAACATTTGACTGCAGAATTACGTTGAAGCATCTCTCCTGTAGTGCTGCAATTTAGTCCTCATGTGGTGACATTGAATTATCTCAGGACTGTTATTAAAGCAGTGCTGATAATTACAAGAAGCTGAAGCTGTCAGTGAAGGACTGTCTGAAGCATGTTATCATCAGAAGACGACACGCTAATGGGATGTGTTTTGTTTAGCAAGAAATCAAACACACACAGAAAAGAGGCGCATTTAAAGTTTCAATCCCGGTTTGATAAAACTGCCACAGGATTTGAGTGTAAATGTACGGGTTATAAATTTGGTTTACAGCTAGCCAAAATATCTTAACTTAGCCTTGTGTTTGGCCATCCACAGGCTGTTAGTTGAATCCGATGCGGCTGTTGGGATTAAGTGTAAAATAATGTATATTTAAGTTATAAACCATTTTTCGCGGATCTGAGGTATAACTATTTTAATTTTCTGTGTGGAATTGTACTGCTAAAGGCGCTGTCCTTTAATAAAATTATATACCATTTCACAATTCAAATTTCAGTCCATTTTTGCATAGTAACTGAATTTTATTGTCTCTGTACAAAATATACACTTTATTTAGCTAACTAGACAGTCAGTACAACAGGTTAGTAGGAGTTCAACACACAGTACATGCGGGTTTAGACAGGTTTACTTGTGATCAGGAATAGAAGATTAAAAAAAACTATTGGCAAGGAACAATCAGAGCCAAACCACTTTTTACCCAGGGGGAAAAAAAACAGAACAGAAAATGTCCAGATTGGAAGTGCATATTTTCATCAGGGCTTTAACGCACCCTGTACTGTGCTGAGACGATTTAGAGGTGGAATGAGTCGAGGGCTGCTGTTAGGTGGTAGAGAATATTATTGCCATTGTCAGCCTGTCTGCATTTAAACAATTTTACTTGCACCATTGTAGTTAGAAAAAATGCTATGTTTATTTAATAAGGACAAATTTACTCTGACCGCAGGATAACTTCATTTCAATTAACAAATTCTTCAAAGGTCGTGGTTTGCAACATAAAACTACACTTCAGTTTGGTCAATGTGTAGGTGAACCCCATCGTCACTGTGCTAAAGGATATCCTCATATCTCTGATTGCCCCTTGCCCGACATCCTACACAGCATCTCCCCCTCTTACCCACAGTTGGGTCAAATATCTTAACTCGGAGTGGCTTTATGTACCTCTTTATTTTTAAGTTCTCTTTGGTGTTACAGAGAGGGAGAACACTGCATGGGGGGGCATAAAAAACTCAATTAAACCATGTCTTTCTCACAAACCGTGCGCACGCACACACACACACACACGCCTCTTTAAATTGAATGATCCTAATTAAATGGGATCAGGGTTTTCATTTTTTAAATTTTCTTAAGTGGTAGAACCTGCTACAGCCACAGGACCGCTCCAATTACAAGAAGTTCACGAATACGATCTGAAATCTAACACATTTCCCTTGAATGTACATCGATAGACTAGTACGATTGTGTTATGCCTGTCCTGTGTTGAAAGAAGCACAAATGGGCAAAAACGGCTCCTCAACCACTATCGCAGTCCCGTCTTTTTAATGCTGAAGATCACTCGAAAATGTACAACAGTCAGTAGACCCCTACAGCTAAGACGGTAATCGTTTAGAAGGCTCGGAATTATTCTACCAAAATCCCATGAATGGAGGTTGGTGTTGTACTATCAGACTCTTACACAAGTAAGTTGGATAACAACTCTTGTTACACATGCACACACACGTACACAAAGGGTGAGGCACCTGTGAATGACTAGGAACAGCGGACAGGCAAACATATGTTGGAGTATCTCTGTAAATACATAATTGGATATTAGTGACATCATCATGCGATATTGTAATCTGTTCCGGATGGAAAACAACACGGTTGAGCATCCATCTGTAAAAATCACCTCAATTAGTCAGCTTCTTTGAGTGTCTTTCTCGCTCTTGTCCACAAGAGGGTGGTAAATATCTACTTTAATGACCACCAGCAGTCCCCTGGTGGGGGGAGGGGGGGGTGTTACCCACATTCTCAAGAGTCAGGATCAGATTCACCAATCCAGATGTCTGCCACCGCTGGAAACAATGAGTTAGAAGGTTTGGAGGCAACTTGCTTCCTCTGAGTTCAGCTATTACGAGCTGGGATAGTTCCTCCATCCATAATGGCAATAAATAAAAGTTAGTCAAATCAAACCGGTGGGTGAGCTTGCATGTGACCGTTCACGTGAGGCCGTCTGTGCCTTTTGGGTGAAAATGAGGTTCTGCATGATGAGGACAGGGCTCGGGGGAACTCTTTTGTCGCTTGGAGAAATGTCATTGGGGCTCCTGGTACCCTGAAGGCACACACACACACACACACACACACACACACACACACACACACACACACACACACACACACACACACACACACACACACACACACACACACACACACACACACACACACACACACACACACACACACACACACCCCTCCAGTGTTCTTTTACACAAGAAGTTCCCGTTCCAGGTGCCTAGATGACGTTGTCAAACAGCTGCATGGACTGCATGATGTTCTCATCCTAGGCAGAGATGAGGGGTTTGGGTGTCATTTTCTTCCCATGTTTTATCCCAAGGATTCAACATTTGGGAAAGTGAGAATTAAAAGTTATAATAGGCAATCTACCTAGCTCACTTTATGAACATTTTATTTCTTTTTTGTTTTAACAAAATGCAAGTAAAATTGTGAATTTACAAAAGTTATTTGGTGCCAGGGACCAAAAATCCTTATCCAGTCTTATTATTGTTATCTTATAATGAGCTAGTTCATCTGCTCGTGGCTGCTTACTTAATGCAAAGACAAGGAATTGGTGTCAATCTTCTCATCTAATTCTATGCAAGAATGCAAATAAGCAAATCGCTAATTAACTTCATTTCCGCCCCACCTTTTTGCACGACTCAATGAACTCTTCTATAGTGACAACCCCGTCTTTATTCCGGTCCATTTTCTGAAAAAAATGCAGCAGTCAAATTACTGAAATGACTTTTGTACATAACTTCTAACAATACTTTTTCTATCTGATCACAATCATAATTGAGGCTTTAATATAAACTGAAGATTGTTGACCTGGAAGAAGCTCTCCACGTGTTCCCTCGGAATATCATCCTGCATAGTGGGGTATGTGTACTTCCCCATCATGTCATAGATGGACTTCATGATGTCAAACATCTCCTGGAAGGTGAAGAACAAAATACTACTTAGGTTGTAGTCATTCAGAGAACAGTGTAACATCTGTGTGTGTGTGTGTGTGTGTGTTACCTCTTTGGTGATACAGCCATCTTTGTTCAGGTCATAGAGGTTGAATGCCCAGTTCAATCTGTCATTAATGGTCCCTCTCAAGATGATAGACAAGCCAAATACAAAGTCCTTAGATAGAAGGGGAACCAGTAACTATTGTTATTGTTTTGGCATTAAACCTGAACACAGTAAATGCAGTCAAATCTTCATCAAAGTGATTCTCTGTTGGCATTTTTGCCCGAGTACATACAGTTTGTGGATAAAGTCATGGTGGCAGATTTAACTGGAGCACACATTTTCTCTTATTTCTAAAATGCTGATATAAGAATGGTGCTCACCTCGAAGCTAACTGAGCCGTTCTTGTTAGTGTCGAAGGCTTCAAACAGGAAATGTGCATACATACTTGAATCTGCAAAGGTAAAGACTTACAGTAACCCGAGTGCCCTCGAAACATGAAGCAAAGTCTTTGAGCGGCTCGGATTAGTAGCCAGCTAAATATAGCGAATATTAGAAGAATACTTTCAGATTCAACATGAGGCCAGTGGTTAACATTTCATCAACCTAAGTGTTATGAAAATATCATGCACTGTGGTTCAGCACAGAACATTTATAATGAGCTCATTGTGCTCATTTTATCACAATGACAAAAAGTTCCATGTGTACGTCTACATAATAAATGCTGTTATCTGAAAACATTCTGAAGACAGAAAGAATGGTGTAATTAAAGCATCCCTGACACAGTTGGGGCTTTTTTCCAGTTCAGCAGTACAATTTGAAAACTCACCTCCCTGTGGAAAGAATTGGGAGTAAATGGTCTTAAAATTCTCCTCATTCACCACACCACAGGGGCACTCCTAGGACACAAATGGGAAAATAGAAGAACCCATTAGTTCCCACCTAAACTAAAGTATACAATTGGACTCCAAAAATAGCATATCTAGAACCAGACGTCTTTTGTTTGCTCTTTTGTGCTGCAGTCTGCCTCGTCCCTCTCCTCTGCAGCCCGACCTACATTTTTGAAGCCCCTGTAGAGGACCTGCAGCTCCTTCTTGGTGAACTTAGTCTGCTCCTCCAGCTTGTCCATGCTTTCCGGGCGATGACACACGGTGGATAACTCAAAGTCATCTTCCACGCTGTCTGTGTGAGGGAAAGACACACTAATAAAAATGGGCGTTTATCAGCACCGCACCGACCTCCCGGGAAGCTGTGACGAGGCCCACACACGCTAATGAAGTCACTGCGCTGATATTGAGCTCATCCTACAGTGCAAGTGCATATAAACTAAAGTCCTTGTTCAAAACCATATCATCATTTCGCATTTCTTGTCTGAAAAGATTAGGTACACTGGGGAGAGGAGGTTTAACATGATGAAAATAGTAAAGAAGCTTTGGAGGTCCGTCCATTAACAAATATTCATCATTCAAGCGGTTTCTCCCAGAAATACCTCTCTACACACACACACACACACACACACACACACACACACACACACACACACACACACACACACACACACACACACACACAGGCAGACGTTGAGTGTGTTCCTGTGTGTTGTGTACACCAAATGTATTGCCGACTTTGGTGTAAAACAACTGCATCCAAAATCCAGAGCTCAGAGTTGTTGGGAGGAAGAAGGAATGTGTAGAGAGTGAAGGAGCACTTGCGTTCACTGATCGAGGGGGGAGCCTCGGGCGTGCAGCATGGCAGCAGCTTGAGGAAACGCTGCTTTATGGTTTTTTTGGTTTGGCTGGTGGAAGTATTACCTGTAATCACCAACCATAGCACAAAAAGGTTAAACACACACACACACACACACACGCGCGCGCCAGGTCTGCAAATTGATTTCTGCTTTCACACACGCACATGCCTGGAATAACCGTTAACACACTCCATGCAACGGACAGATGCAACCACAGACGGACTCATGCCGTTTAGACAAATTGGAGTTCGGCGACTCAGCTATGGGAGACCATGAATACCGCTTACAATGGTGGATATTACACAACAGCATCACAGTGTGACTAGAGACACACAGTTTCCTCCATCAGACGGGCAACTGTATAAAAAAACAAACAGTTGAGCATCAATCTAAAACACAATTAAAACTCCAAATCACAATCCACTGGAGGGCATAAGTTCACTTTAGAATACAATTTCACAGACAGTTGTGCTGCAAAAACTAACCTCTGGCCATCAGTCTACCACCACACCGGCTCATCTCAAATCACACTTCAAGATGCCTGTCTCGACATGTTTCACAGAGCGGTAATGAAAATCTCATCGGGGAAGTAAAACACATTCACACACAAGAACCCTTGTTCTTACTCTCGCTTAGTTTCCATGGTAACAGTCCCCTCAACTCTTTCAGCAGGACCCAAGCAGTATGAGGGATGAAGACCACGGTGGGGTGACAAACAATAGAACCAGTACAGAGTGTCTAGGCCCTGTGAGGTGTCACCCCGTCGTCCTCAGGGACTCACACCGCGGCTCGGCAACACGTGCAGCCAGAACAGGAAGATCACAGTGCCCGATGGGCACTAAATGATTACAACCAACCTGGGGGATTTTATCTCCTAACTGACCTTTTCTCTATTTCCCTGATATTTCTATGCATACGCATTGGTTGATATGGAAGTTGTTTGTACCAACAGAACACCGGTGGGAAACTGTCCTTTGCTGTAAACAAGTAGGTTACTGCGCTCATTACACCATTGAAGTAACATGTGATCACTTTGTTTTCAGGCCTTTGGAGTTAAAATTGTCTTTTGAGACAGTGACAATGACACCAAAGTAGCAAGAAAAGTATAAAGAAATACTAGAGTGTACTCCTCATCAGCCAGGGAAAAGAAGCCATCTGGATGAAGACTTGTTGTTCCGGGTCCGTACCCCCTTATTTGAATGCACTTATCGAAAGTCGCTTTGGATAAAAGCGTGTACGCTGAATGAAAAATGTAAATGTAAATGTACATTTCACCCGGCATGACCTGTAGTGATTATGCAATCAAGCGTTCAATAGATTCCCTCAGGCTTCACTGACAACCCATCACAGCTCTTAAGGAATTGGAAAAGCAGCTCTATTATTAGCTGGATGGCAACACTTTTTTTGGCAATATCCAGTAACTTTTGAAGAAGCTCTGCGTCTCATAAACTCAAGAGATCTGAGGATCACAAAGCACAGAGAAACTGTCAACTAAAGTGAAGGCAGCACACATATTATAGTGAAACAATCTACTGTAGATCCAACACTGAATCTTCCAGCTATCTCTAGGCCCTGTGAATGATGAGAGATGCAACCTTAACAACTGATCCGTTTTTTTACAAATATTGGGCTAAAATTAGAACCAATCCTGCTGGTTCTGTTGAGTCTTTGTGTGTCTGCTGCTGTAATCGAGGCCTAGAGTCTTCTTTACCTGATGTTATTCATTTCTTCCCACTTCTTACCCACCTTCGCTGTTACCAAAGTGCATTTAGTTGGAATTACACTTTCATCAATTTGAGGGACTGATAAGAGACCAAAAACAATCTATACAGCAATGGTAGACAACAAATCTGGCTTGTATGGTCCAACCTATGGCTCACGCTCCTAAAACATTGAATCCTTCAATTCCCATATTGCATTTTTGTCAGCATCTCATTGGAAAGATCCATAACTATGGGTCGACATTGAGATGCCCTTTGGCCTTGAATTTTTCATTCTAATGTTGTGTTTTTTTATGTTGTTAATTACCTGTGTGTCATAAATTATGCATAATCAGGTTTACCATTCTGTAGAAAGGTATACCCCATATATTTCAGCCTCAGAAAAAAGCCCACACACAAACACACCCATACGTCTAAACACACACACACACACACACACACACACACACACACACACGGGGAATAAATAGGTATGACACATTGACAGCTATTTAGTGAAGGATTTAGGCCATGTTTATTCCTAACAGACAAATGTAAACACTCCCCTTTACAGCTTCTTATGTCCCTTCACCAAATTAATCATTTTGACTTCTCACTCTGCGCCTCTCTCTTACCATTCCCCTTACCTGCCGTGGAAAGGTCGATAAGCCCCAGAAAGTGCATCAGTTTGAGGGAGCTGCAGACCACCAGGAGGATGCCCACAGTCTGCAGCCCCTCCACCTCCCACTTCTCTTTGAGGAACAGATGCATCCTTTCCTCCTTCTTCTTCTCTCTCCGTTTCTGTCAACCAAAATCTTCCTCTTACCCCGGGGCAACAACCTTCCTCCCCCCGGCCCCCCCACCTCTCAGCTTCAACCAGGAATGGACTGTCTTTTCGGTAGCTCCTTTCAGTCCCCTTCTATATGCCGGTATTCCTCCATCCTAACTCTGCATGCACGGCTCCCCGCCCGCTTCCTTCCCTGAGGGTGGGATGCTCCTCTCCTCGTACCTCCACCGTGGACAGTGAGCGCGAGGCAGAGAGGATGTCGACCCGCCGCTCCACCCCCACTGCCTCCGAGGCTGTCAAAGCTTGTTTAAGTTCCAGGTGAAGTTCGGACAATTCACCGTGTTTGTCCTGGCAGGTTGGCAGCAATTGTTTTGCGACTCTGTCCCTCGCTGCGATTTTCCGGCAAATGACTCTCAAAGTCTCTCGACTCTCTCTGCCCGTCCTCCCTCTCCCCCTCTCTTTTCTCGCCTTACCTCCGTCACACTCCTCCTGCTGTGTCCCTCCCCATGTTTAATTGGGTCAGTGATGGGATTGAGTGACGGGGAGGACAACATGGGAGGTGGAGGAGAAAAATAAGAAGGGAGGAGTACTACTTGTAGGTTAGGAGGGGAAATCGAAAGGGGGTGGACATAAAAGAAACAGATGAGAAGAATTCATCCCGAGAGGAGATATGAAGAGAGACAGGGAAAGCAGGAGCAAGGTGGAATGGAGCAAACAACCGTAACCAGGGTGATAGCGAAAACCAAATCACAAAAGATTTTTAAAAAGCTGCAGGGGTGAAATGCAGAATGAAATTAGGACAAATACAGACAAAGACTAACAGGGGTGAGGAGAGTGACGATGACGACAGCGAGGTAAAGCATCTGACCCAGCAGCTACTGTGGACAAACTCACAGATGTGGCAGATCTCCCCTGAGTGTAGTCAACACACATTCACTCACAAACACATTGCCTGGAGTTGAAATCTGGCTATAACATGTATTGCATACATGTATCGCCGTACAGTGGGGAATACTTCAGTTTGGATGGGATATATTTATTTCACATCTGGCACATTAACATGCCGTTGACAGACAGAATCTCTGAAGAACTGACACAGAAAATAGGATTCAAAAGAATGCAATCACAGTGATGCATTCTTCCCATATGGGTTTTACATACCTGACGCGTTGATGTGGGATTAACCGATTCAAGAAATGTGTACAGTGCAGTTTCACTAACTGAGACACAATGTCTGAAACAAAACATTGGGGTGTGAAATCTTTGTTTCCATCGTCAGTAACCCACCTCACGTAAACATGGTAACGAGTTTCTTGCAGTGAGGTACGCAGATTTGAAATGTGGCAAATAGTCGGTTTTCCGGTTTGAAGGAATGTTTTGTAATACCTCAACTCAGGCAGAAGGTCAACATCATTTATCGATAACCTCCGCAACAAGTATAAATCAAAACAATAAAACTGATCTGACGCAACAATACTAGATTTGTAAGGCTGATTTATAGTGTGAGGGAAAGAGCATAATGTGTGGTCACAGGCAGTGACTGCAGGGTTACTGTTAGCTTAGGCTCAGGGCCATGCTTAAAAGAAACCAGATTTTTGGCAGGAATTGGAGAGAAAACGATGGGGTTGCGAGTTGCGGTCTTCTGTTTTCATCTCTTCCGTCTGCAGACATTGTGGCTTCATAAAACATTTTCCTCCTTTTCTCCCAACAAACAGCTACCATAAGTAGGCTACTAATGGACTTCTCTCAAACATAACTTGTAAGTGTTTTGCTGAAATTACTGATGCTTTTGCATCAGTCTGTGAGTAGGTTGGCTAAACGCCAAACAGAAAGAAACCCACAGACTTGAGAGCCTGATCTATCTGCCGTTGCATGCGATTCATGATCCTCAGTCTAGATGAGACACAGGGCGACAGTGCTGCTGCCGAGCCTCGAGGAACACCGTCCTTAATCAGAAGCAGACTCTGCTCGGTGCTAAATAAAATGACAACACGCAACATCTGAGTTCACTTTCAATGTCGGGAACTGGACTCACTGCCCATCAAAGTGTGCAGACATGAATCACTGTCATTTAACATGAGCGATTTGACTGTGGCTTCTAATGGCACTGAAGGATCAGACATTATAACAAGAGGCGCTTGATGATCAAATAAAGGGACATGACTAAAGAAAACAGGTAACCGAGAAGCAGGAGATTTATTTCACAACTGGTCATCTATAGAGTTTTGGTTACATGAAGCATTACACTAAAACACATTTCTCATGCATTCATGGGCAATATGAGGGAAACAGGCTACAGAAACGGTGACATATTCAGGGCAGTGAATTCAGAAACAGTTTGAAGTCGGAGAATCAAATCAAGGATGAAAGTGTGAGATTAAGGCTAGTCGCACCCATATGCCACTATTGCTAACATAAAGCATTCAGAAATCTGTCACAGAAATGTTACATCAATGTATTGCAAGAAAAAAGAAAAATTCTCCCCTTTAACTTTGTCGGAGTCATGACGGCTGTGTGATTCCAGGAATATTGTAAGGCACTGACCTTTGAACTTCTTACTGTTGTTGCCGTTGTTTCTAATCTAATCTAAAAAGATCTTACTATGAAATTGCAGTTGGATGGATCTGGATAACATAATGTCATGTATTGTCTCATGGCATAGGCTACATAGCTACATGAGCTGCTCCAAACTGAATTACAGCCCTGCTTTTGAAAATAAAGTTACGTAATTCATGATACTTAAGTTATCATACTTAACAAGAGTCTACAGCTACACTGTGTGAGTCAGACGTAATATGCACAGCGATGCTCGAGCTAAACGCTAATACGGTGCATGCATGCTAATGTGTGGCCAATGTCAATGCTAATATGGTCATTTGTTGTTAATTCTCCCCCTACAGCGAGTTAGCATGCTAACGTTTTCCAGTTAACCGTAACACAAAGTGCTGGTGAGACTGTAATGCATCACTTTGGCAGGTTTTTGATCACAAATGTTGACCCTATACGTTTACAGACGTATATGAGAAAGCGCCACCTGTAATGCATCCCAACAGACGCTCAGATGTAAATAGGTTGACGGGGGTCTGAATGCTAATCTATGCTAGCTGCTGACGACCTCACACACATATACTAAAGGTTGTGACAAAAAGCTATCTTAATTAGGAAGTTGATTAGTTACTGTGTGGCATATTTTGCCTGAAGCCAGACACACACAGTAATTGAAATACCGCCATATTTAGATGTCTACCGTGGCAATTATTACCCTCAAAACTGATTAAAATGTCTGAGAGCGAGAGGGTGTGTGTGGATGCGTGCAGGAGGAGGAAACACAGAGGAGGTCATTGATAAATGGTGCGCAAAATTGAGTGTGTTTCCAATTAGTTAAGTGACATAGGACATCCATTTGTATGGATCATTAGGTTTTAAGGATATTTTTAAAAACAGATTTGTTCTTCTGAGACGCCGTTCAGCATAAAAGACAAAGCACGTAATGAAAAAAGAAAAAAATTTAGCGAATATAATTTCTTAACTTGATCCAAGCAATTGGATTGGGTCCATTTGAAAAAATGGAAAGTGGTTGTCAATATTTACCGTTACACAATATCCATCTTTTATATGCCAAGTGAACACCAAGGCTAAAATCACAAACACACTTTTACACCTGAAGAGGGCAGTGCAAGGTAGGACACGTTCACATTGAACCTGCTACTCTTCTTTGTGTCTTTTGTTATCTTCCTTCATTGAAATTCTGCTCCAGACCAGCCAACAGTGGGAGGGTAATGACTGTTCACAAGCCATTTACAGTGCCAATGTGTCAGATCAAAACCAGAGGAAACGGAACAGTATTACAGTCGCCATACTTTGAAGCTTCTTTTCTGGCACTTGGCTCCATCCATGCTTTGTTTTAAATGTGTGTTGAGTGGTGTAAATTCAATCTAAATTGGGTTTGCATCACTAATAGCAATGCTCTAAATGTTTTCCCATCAAATAAAACTCCGCACTGCTCTTTCCTGTCAGGAAAACTTCCTTAGGTTGATAAAACCAGACTAAAAACATGATAGAAGCTAAAAGGGCTGAATTAAGGCTCTCTCAATTAACCTCACTGCTGCAAATTTACTCCTTTTCCAGCTAAACAAGACTTTGTTTAATTTGAACAAAAAACAGTGAACTATGAGATGAACTCAATCAGCTGGCAGCTGAAACAGAAAATATATCCAACACGTTTATTGGGATTCAGTCATGAATGAAGATGAATTCAGCACTTAAATCAATTGCAGACTAACAGCACTCTGTGCCCTTCCCGAGCTGCTGTAAAAGCGGGTGAATAATGCCCATCGTTTGGCCAAAATAAATGTTTTATCCTGACGAATCCTGCTGCCAGGCATATGCACCCTGTTTAATAGCACACTACCCCGCCGACTGTCCAGAGTGACTGGGAAATTTAGTACAACAGACAATTGGGAAGTTAAAGCATATATGATATTTCGTGTCAAGATTGATTTATAAAACCTACAAACACTTCATCGAAGGGCCGTGCTCTGCTTATGGGCTGGAAATTCAAAACTTTAGAACATCTTTATTATAGTGCCTTTGTATGAACAGTGGAGTGCGATGTAGGAACAGTAGATAAACAATACAGCAAACATGATCTCCCTGTGCAAATACAAAATAAGAATACACTCGACACCCAACCTCACAAGTGCAAGCAAACTATGAATTTAAAAAAAGACAAAAACTGTAGCTAACTGTGAGGGGGCATGAATATGTGAATGTGTAGCATGTATGTACATATTTATGTAGGTACATGTATGTATTAACATTTGATGCATATCTTGAAAATCCATGAAAAATTAAAATTGCAAAAAGAAATTGTAAAGATGAATATGTATGTGCATTATTGGTTCACTAATTAAGCAGATTATTGAGAAAGATCTTGCGTATCTTTTTTTTTTAAGACGTTGCATACATACTGTATTCAACTTCACAAAACACCCTTTTTTAGCAATGTCCATGCTCGCCTACTGGCCTCCAGGCTGAATTGGTATTACCTGTAAATGGATTTAAAATCATCACATAATCTAATCTATTCAACCCACTGTTGATACTTTGACACCACCAAAGCTTTGGCCGGATATTTTACGTAATACAGCTTTTGGCTGCAAGTAACTGTACTGTAAGTATTTTACAGAAAATCAAGTGAGATACTACAAACTGCCAGGACATTTACATTTTTTCTCCATTCATTAAAATGTCTCATCTGAGTTAAACTAAATCTTCCAAACTCTAATACGTTTAGGGAATATGAAGGGATATTTTCAAGGACGGGTCTGTGTGTGTGAATTCATGAGTTGATTACCAATGTCATCGTCTTTCTGCTGACGTATGCCAGAAGAAGAGCAGCGGAACAACTTCTGTTCTTATATTCATAGAGCTCCTGCTATACAAATACAGATCATTCTCATTCACACACACACACACACACACACACACGCACACACACACACACACACACACGACTGCTGAATCTAAATAGAGCAAGCGAGAGTGTGGGGTAAGGGGTTGGCAGAGGGAGGATAGCGAGTGTTCTGTATTAAATAGCATGTCTTATTCTCTTGTGTCCTCACCCTGTAGCTGGCTCGCTGTCAGAGGGGCAGAGACAAAAAGAGCCTCAGACAAGGACAACAAGGACATTCTCCTCCACACTCACTAGTTATGTCGCTGTTTAGTTTGCCATAAAAAAAAAAAAATTCCAAACCACTGACAGATGCCACAGTACCTACGTGCCTGCCTTTGAACTGTGCCTTACAGATTACAATAATGATTCACGGGATGGTTATGGAAAACAATATTTGTTTTTTACCTCATCCAACAAAGGCGCCAAGGCTGGAATCGACCGACGGTGGTTGAGGTTTTTATGTAATTTGCTATTACCACCCAGCCACCAGTCGCTGCAGAATATCATCACATTTGTCTGATATAATCTCCTCAGACCTTTACAGACTAAATGGGCTGCACACACACACACACACACACACACACACACACACACACACACACACACACACACACACACACACACACACACACACACACACACACACAGCATTCTCAATCAGCTTAGCTTTCTATTGAAGGGCAATTACAAGGATAGGTAGATGGACAGTCCGCTGTGAATGTGCGTGTGCTTGGACACAAATGGGCCATGTGCTGACCGAGAGGCAATTTACCTTCACTTTTCCCTCTCCCTCACAAGCAGACGTGTACACACGCTGAATTGCACACCCATGTACACGCACGCACGCACGCACACGCACACACACACACACAGTGGTGGTCATAGCCAAATAACCCCTTAAGAAGCAAACATGATTTACTAAGCCTTTTGTATACAGCAAAAAGATGGAGGATGTTGATTGATGGAGCTAAATCTATTTTGTTCATCAAAGGCACAGAGTAATATACACACACACACACACACACACACACACAGTCATATTTGACAGACGCCGTAAAAATAAATATACAATATATTGTATACAAGATACCCAGCATTGTGTGGTGAGGTTAATTCATTATTATGGTAAATGCGGCGTAGCATTCACAAACATTTTGAGCTGTTGAGCAAAATACGAGGAGAGAGCTAATGTTTAGCAGGCCTGATGTTTTGCATGTTTCCCTAGGGTGTACTGGGTTTATATTTGCTAATGCAATTTGAATCGAACCAATTGCACAGCATGCATTCCAATAATCAACTAAAACCTCATGCTTATCAGGAAAAGTCAGGACATCACCACATTCAGTAGGATTCATTCTCTAAAGAAGCTGGATGTCTGTGAAAGTTGTGTGCTGATTCTTGCAGAATATTTTGAGATAATACATTAAACTTTATCTACTGTTTCCATATGAGAAAAGTCAGAGGGTCACCGGTCGGTAGGATTAATCCTCCAGGGGCCGTGGCAAATTTCATGGCAATCCATGCAATAGTTGGAAAGTGCCATCCAGACAGCCATGCCACCAGCATAAATACTTAATAGCAAACAGTAAATTTAATCTGTGCTCGAAGACTCAAGACCCGTATCATTGCAGTATGAAGGTTCCTACTGTTCTGATATTTGTACTTACTTATAACATTGAATCTAATAGGAAAGGATAGCGTGCATTGTTTGTTTAACTAATGAGAGGAAAAGAATAAGATCCCCTGTCAACACAGTCGAAATGCATTTGGTCTCATTTGTAAATAGGGGTGGAGGAAAAAATCGATTCTTCGATTTCTCTTGATTCTTGATTCAGAAAAGTTATTAATCGGAATAAAAAAAAAACGTCTGTCTCGCGCGAGCAAAAGTTCATCTCACACGAGATATTTGCTCGCTCGCGGAGCGTGAACTTCCTCGCTCGCGATGTTAGTCTCTGCTCGCGCTCAAAGGTGTTTTCTACGCTCTCGCTGTTTTTCTTTCTGACAGTAAGGGGGCGGAGCCAGTCACCATGGTCTCTACACCTGATTAGTTACAAACCCCGTCTTTGGATTGGCTGGAATGATGCATTCAAACAACTATTAGGGGTGTAACGATTCATTTTAACAATGATTCAATTCGAATCACGATTCATAGTTGCCGATTCGATTCATGGACGATCTGGGTTAATTTAGAACGATTCGATTCGATTCAGTGACTTGAAATCGATTCAGTAACTTTACTGGACATTGCAGGCAAAGTTTCTGAGATCCCTGTTGTTTCTTGTAAGGAAATCAGGTTTAAATGAATTATGGATATTATAAACAAGCAAACAACAATTGATGGCAAATGTATTAACCTTTTATTGTTCAACCATTTTCAATGTAAACATTACACAATTATTACATGTTTGGATCAATTCACAGAACCCCGGATTTTCAACCACATTGCAGGGTCGCATGTCTTTACAGCTAAACTTGGTAATTGTT